AGAGGAGGAGATTAGCCAACAGTCTTCAACATCCTATGGTGGTGTATGTTTTATAAAGGGAATAGAGCATTGTTATTCTGGCAAGTCATTTAAAAGTAGAAGTTGATTAAGAAAGCAACTGTTGTTAAAAAAAAAAAAAAAGATATTTAAGACCACAGATAGGTCTAATGCAGAAACAATGGGAGTCATATTCTAGCAATTCCACAGTACAAAGATATTTTACCAAATGATGCATGTTTTCCAGTAAAATCTACTCTAACAAGAAGTGATATTAGTGAATACCAACAATTAAACATCAAATCATGAGGATTTCAGAATATGACTGTCTTTAGATAGGCTGAATATTACCATATCTACATATAAATAGTCACACAAATTGGACATTTACTTTGCCATTTGTGAACATTAATGGTGGTGGAGAAAGGGGCGGCAAGGACAAAAAAATTTTAAAACTTAAAAAAAACACAGAAAGGAATGTTAGCTTTCTCCGTGTCGTTTAGGCTTCTAGTACACATTAACTCCACAACAGATGTGGCTATTTAGTTTCAGAGCGCTAAATATGGCAAGTTCCACTCGACATTCTCTGGGTTCTGATTTCACTAACACTCAAGTATACTTCTGCTTCATACTGTGAGGGGGCACCTTATCCATTGAGTTAACTGTTTAACTCTCTGTGAAAATGAAAATTTTAGGTACCACTTTAAAAAAAATTTATTAGGTACTGACATTTTACATATTCTTAAAAAGCAAAAACTAAAAACTGACACTCAGAAAAGAATAAACCTGTTTAGAAGGAAACTTGGCTCACTTTCATTTAACATCAGAGCTAGAATGACTCACTTTGCCACCCAGGCATCAGAACATAAAAAGTAGTAATTTGTATTTATACCCTTTGTTATGTGTGGGAGAAGAGGGCAGAAGTATGCAAATGAGTAATCTCTTTCCTGAAAATTCTTTAACAAAAGAATGTAAGATTTAGTGAAGGGAGTAATTGCATCTATTACCTTAGACTACCTAGATTAAAATGCCACCCCCCAAAACAAATGAAACAAAAAAGTGAAAATACTCTCCTTTTCATTTAGTTACTTATCCCCATATTATTATTAAGATGTAACAGATTTTGTTTTCCACATAACTAGCTATGGGAAGTAAGAGAGAAGGCTATTACAGATTATCAGAATTAAACAAAGGTAGCAAACAAGCATGATTAAATCATAATATATAATTTGGAATATCATCTATATTAAAATTTTATGTCTAATATCTGGATTTAAAAATGTATCTCAACTAAAAGAATAGTTATTCTTTTATAAAGAGTTTGAGATATGAAAGTAGATGCATATTTTCACTTTGTCACTAAGTATATCAAGACATTTAATTCTAATTACCCTGGTCTGATCACTATACATTACATATATCAAAACATCACTATGTATCCCATAAATATATACAAGTATTATATGTCAATTAGAAAAAAGATATTTCATGCAATACAATCAAGAGAGCATTTTTATATATAAGCATTTTTATGGAAGGCCTACCATTAAATTTTTGGAACAATTTTATTTTCAAAAATAAATTAACATCTTAGAATCTCATCCTCTGAAATACAAAGAACAACTGCTGTTGCAGTTGGTGTTACTACTACAAGGCTCCTGCCAAGAGCAATCATTGTGCCATCTGGTTTGACAAACTCAGAGAGCCAAAGAGTAGCCATTCAAGTAACAGCTTTTTATCTCCATCAGTAAACTCGCTGCAGATTACTATGGTCGGGATTCAAAACCTAACTAATCTGGGAATCAAGCCACACTCCATAGCTCAGCTGACTCCACACTAATGTGCATCTTGAGTACAGTCTGCTCTTTCTTAATCTAATAAATTACCCTCCTGTAAAATGAGCTTGTTCTGGGAACAACCATACAAAATCATGTTGCTGCTGCTGTTGTTGCTTCTAATTCCGGCTATTTCAGGCACTTCCATGACAACTGGGAGCAGGTCACTTCAGGATTTGCCCTAAAGTCACTTCAATATTATATCCTTGCATAATGGGAACCAGATCAGTCAGCTCAAGAGTTTATAACAGGCAAATGACTTTCACCTTTTGACCATGTATTCAAATTCGCTTGGAATGGATAATACAGAGAATGAGAATCATTATCTCAGAAATGTTCAGCAGTGTCAATGGCAAATGATACCTGATTGAAGTCCAATTTAAATAGACTAAACTTTGAGGGGGGAAAATCCCACAAAACGTTTTCAGTTGGCCTCCAAATATTCCTTTGACTTGAAAAATGGTTGTTTCTTCTTTGATTTTAGCTAAATATGCCACAGGAAAAAAAATAACACAAGAGCTGTGATATACTTTTCACATCACAGCATCAGTAAGATACTAAATAACACAATGGAAATAAAATTAGCATAGCCTTTCAAAAAGAACCAAAATATTAGAACTGTGAAGTTATGTACCTAAGGGTCAATCTAATTGAGTCATTTCCTTAGGGTACACATTGAGTTTTAAGAAGTCATTCCAAAAATCTGTCTAACCACAATGACTCAAGTAACAACCTACACATTAGAATACAGATGAGAGTTTTAACAAGAGTTAGAGATACTTGCTTTAGGAATAATTACCAGGAAATGGCATTGGTTTATGTTTATAAGTGAGGAAAAATTAATAAGCAATCATAAAACTAGAGAATCCTGTGTTTGCTATTTTCCAAGTTAATAATAATATTATTTTGCCTTTTTGATCTAGGCAGAAGGTTCAGACTCCTAATTTCCAGGTAAATAGTAACATTTCTGATAAAATTATTTGCCTGATTGTAGACATCTAAGATCAAAATTCTATCTGTAGCATCTGGAAAGAAAGCAATCTCAATGGTTGTAGCAATGTAGCAATTAGACAAATAAAGAAAAGGGAAAGAAAAGTTAGATGTTGACATTAGCCTAATTTCTCTGGCTAACATAGGCAGGTGTTTCGTGCTCCTCTCTAATATATATTTATGTTTAAATTGAACCATAACAGCTGCACAAGAAGCACACTTCACCCACAAAAAGAATACAAAGTTTTCCTTTATTAACTCTTTAAAAGACAGCATACCTTTAACTGTATACTTCAAAACTTTGTATCATTATGTTACAATGCACTTAAAGGCCTTTTATGGCTTTCAAAAGCATACAGTGACAGTGTTGGAAGTGACCTCAATAATTCATCTAGTCCAGTGCCCTCATTTCAGTTTTCTAGTTACTTCCTTTCTCTTTAGAGGCTGTGGTAGTAAGGATAGCATCTCCAGCTATCAGTCCTGTAGGCAACTTCCTTCTTACTCTCTATATTTAGAAATTCAAAGCCAATTTCTGGGAAGCCCGAGGTCAGTGAAAAAAATGCTCACTGCCCAGAAGCATCAAGTTTTGTATCCAGTATTTCCCTTAAAAAAAATTTTTTTTAATCAACAGAAAAGCTAGCCAATATACCCAGTATGTCCTAAAGCTGTATGCTGAAAGGAAAACATTTAAGAGAACATTAACTAAAGTAACAAACTTACTCAACATAGTATGTCCCATACTGAGGGTCCTCTATTTTCTCCC